TTTAATCATTTTTTAAATTTTTTTAAAACAGTACAAAAATACTAGGGACATTAACGTTAACCGTTTAACAAAAATATCAACTAAAAAAATAGTACAAAAATACATATAAATTTTTTTGAAATGGTGCAAAAATACACCTGTAGTTTCAGTGATTGCAGCATTTTGTATCTATTTGAAAATTTTATGCATAATTTTGTACTTTTTTTTTACTTATATATTTGTTAAACAGTTAATATTAGTTGACTTATGGTCATAATTTTTTTATATCATTTTAAAAAACTGTATGCATATTTTACATTTAAAAACAATTTATGATATATACTTCCATGATGAAATATTTCATGAGCAGATTTGTTTTTTTTTTTTTGGTTGGAAAGTTAGATTTGTATTTTAGTCCAAAGTAATAACGCGCGTACACTAACAGATCAGCAATCATTCACATCGTAACGTTAAAAAGAGCATACGGCAACCAAGTCATAAGCCCAACGGCAGAAACATAACAAAAAGACGTCACGCACCGACTCCAAACGAACAAATTAAACATATTAAAAAATTAAGTACAAACAATCAAATTAAATATATTAAAAAGAACCCAAACGAAATATCAAGATCCTCATTGAGAAAACTTTTAAATTTTTAGATTCAGTTCTGAATCTAAAAAATAGATACCTAATTTACATTATGTTACGAATTAACTAAATAAGTTGTTCGCTCCATTTAATCTTCATTAAAGAGATTTGGTTAACTAATTTAGATATATTAAAAGAGTTGTATAAATTAATTAATCATAACAAATATGATTATATTGAAAAAAATTAATTTGAGACGGATTTAATGAATCAATTATCATTTATAATTATAATAAAGTAGTTAAAATGATTATATTAATTGATTACTTGTTATATCTTATATTTGGTGCGGAAATAAAAGTCTTGAGGATGGACTACATTTAAGATTAAGGGCCTGTTTGGATGATATCCAAAACCATGGTTTGGAAGGCAAAACCATGATTTGGATAAAATGCCATCCAAATAGCCTCAATATTTTGAAACCATGGTTTCAGGTAAAACCATGGTTTGCTTAGAAGCAGAAAAGAGTCGCTTCTGGGGGTGAATTGGGAGTGTCAGATGAGGCAACGGTCTAATTGACCAAAAGCATCGTTTCTTCCTTCGCCAACCGACACTTTCACTGGAGTGAATATAATCACTGGTCGACACTTTCAGCTTGCCTCTTTGCCCTTCCTTCGCCGTCGCTGCTATGAAATTCTACACCGATGAGATCGTCTTGGGCTAGTGAAAACAAGGGCTGGTTGTGTGTTTCTCGGCTCGCCAAAACCAGATCAAGCGTTGGGTTGTTCAATCCATCCATCCTCGGTTTCCAATCTCTGCCGTTCAGTTTGCCCAGTCAGGTTGCCATCATCGTCATCGTCATCATGCATGACGACAGTGGAATGCAGCTTAGACTTGGGTTTGGCTTTCTGGTTTCAAGCAACAAAAGTGCCCTGATCCATTTCACAGTATGCACAGAGAATGAAAACAGTTGGCCACAATTGGAGTTTGCACTGAGTTATAACATATCCAGAGAACTAGAGGGGGTTTTTTTTTTTTTTTAACTTTTGGGCTAGAACTAGAGCGGATTATAATTAGAATTAGAAAGTAGAAATAAATATGAATTGCACCCAAAAACAATTTTAAAAAGTATACTTAATAAAATAAATATGAATTATACCCAAAAAAATATAAATATGAATTCTCATTTGATTAATACAATTTTTTTGTCTATCAAGTTTACTTTCAATTTAGTTTATTAACAATTTTATTTCTTCAAATCAAAATATATTATAAAATTTATCCCTCATATAATTATCATATTAACTTATGTCTTTTTTAGCAATTTGCACATGTAAAAGTGTTTTTAGTAATAACTATCCAAATACTTCTACTTCTCAGAATCAATTTTTCACAAAATTTATTCATCACAAAATCTATTCTCCCCAAAACTTATCCTTCAGAAGCTATTCTCCAAATCATGGTTTGGTTTCATCTAAACACCCCCTAATTTTCTTTAGCAAAAGGGATATTACTTGTTGGATTGAGCCATCCAAAAGTGCCGACAAAAAGAAGTCAGCAAGGAGACGGAAAAATGAATATGCCGAGCTGCGCTTTGGACTGGTGGTTGAGCAGATCTTCAAATGTTGTCATATGATATCTACCAAACATAGCATGCTTCTTGTTATTCCTGGAACAATGCTCACCACAGGCAGGACGCTTCAATTTAAGTCAACTAATGGCACATCGTATTCATATGGTTAATGACCGAAGTTAATACGAAAACACCCAATTTAAAATGTGAGCTGATATATGGATGCAATTTTAAAAACAATTAAGTAAATGAAATATAGCGTTAAATTACAAGTGTTTGAGGACCTGAGAGTAAAGGTTGTGATGATCATACTCTTGTATAAAAATAAGGCTAGAGAAGTGTGTGTATAATTCTCCATTCCTAATGTGAGACTTATTTAACTTATTTGATTAGATTAAAAAAAATTAGGTAAGTTAGTTAGTTGTAAGAAACATGACATATTTTCCTAAAACACCATAATCATCTTCTTTAATACCTTATCTCCCTCTTCTATTTGATTATGATTGAAAGAACATCAATAAAAGTAATTAGAAAAAATTAATAAATATGAAAACTGAGTCTTACATTTAGAACTAAAATCAACTCAATAATTATATCATACATTAAGAATCAGAGGAAGACACACACGTGTGTATGCGTGTATAGCGTGTATAGCGAAAGGGATAGGAGCGAGGACCACACGAAGCTTTACTGAAAGCGCGGGGAAAAAAAGTCACCGCCCTACGTGGGAAATGGAGAAAGCCAACGTTTGAAGTGTGAACATCCTCCTTCTTCTTCACTACTGCCCCTAATCTGTCCCCCTCACATTGATTATTACAGCATTAATAATGTCTCCATAAACCGGGCTCTCCATGTGTCTCCTTTCTATTCAGATCCCATGAATATTTTTCCACAACATTAACGATCTGTAAATTAGAATAAATTCATAATAATGTATGGATATTAAGAAAATTTTCAAACTTATATATCATCTATATTCAGAACAGGACAGATGGAATGGGGTAACAATTGTCAATATTTTTCACTCAACTAGAAACGGAATCAGTTTGGAGCTTCAATGGAAAATTAATGACTTTTGTTTGTGAGAGAGGTTGGGAGGACAGTAAGACCAGCCTTTGGAGTAAAGCAGATGGATTTGAAGTGAACAAGCTGGCGGGCCCACAAATATTTGAAAGACATACAATTCAACAAAAATTGAGTTATCATGCGAGCACGTTGCGTCAACGTTTTCAACTGGAGAGGAAATCATAGAAGACCCATCGAGTGTGAAACCGTTGACAGTCGGTGTCTAGTGACATGATGAGTGACGTTGCATCCCAGGATCTTATACTATAAAAGGAGCACTCGCATCTTCTACTCCTCACACTCGACCCATCTAGCTTTCATCACCATAATATGGCTTCTAGTATTCTGCTTGTGTTCTTCTTAGGACTGGTGCTTCTCATCAGTCCACTCACTGCGGATTTCCATCATGAGCCTTTCCCTCAACACAAACCACCTAAGCCTGTTGGTGAACCTCCACAGGGAAAGCCATTTCCAGGTGACAAACCACCTAAACCAATAGATGAACCTCCAAAAGGAGAGAAGCCACTTCCGGAAGATAGGCCAATGCCCGAACCAAAACCCAAAGGTGATAAACCCCCTCCAAAGAATGAACCACCGCATGACCTTGATCACCTTGGACATCGTTTAGAAGAAGAAAGGCCATTTCCCGAACCAAAACCAAAAGGTAAGAAACCACCTCCAGAGAATGAGCCCCCACATAACCCTGATCATCCTGGACACCGTTTATCTGAGGAAAGGCCATTCCTCGAACCAAAACCAAAAGGCGAGAAACCACCTCCAGAGAATGAGCCACCACATGACCCTGATCACCCTAGACACCGTTTAGAAGAGGAGAGGCCATTCCCCGAGCCAAAACCAAAGGATGAGAAACCACCTCCAGAGAATGAGCCACCACACGACCCTGATCACCCTGGACACCGTTTAGAAGAGGAGAGGCCATTCCCCGAGCCAAAACCAAAGGATGAGAAACCACCTCAGAGAATGAGCCACCACACGACCCTAATCACCCCGGACACCGTTTAGAAGAGGAGAGGCCATTTCCTGAACCAAAACCAAAAGGCGAGAAACCACCTCCAGAGAATGAGCCACCACACAACCCTGATCACCCCGGACACCGTTTAGAAGAGGAGAGGCCATTCCCCAAACCGAAACCAAAAGGCGAGAAACCACCTCCAGAGAATGAGCCACCACACGACCCTGATCACCCTGGACACCGTTTAGAAGAGGAGAGGCCATTCCCCGAGCCAAAACCAAAGGATGAGAAACCACCTCCAGAGAATGAGCCACCACACGACCCTGATCACCCCGGACACCGTTTAGAAGAGGAGAGGCCATTCCTCGAGCCAAAACCAAAGGGCGAGAAACCACCTCCAGAGAATGAGCCACCACACAACTCTAATCACCCTGGACACCGTTTAGAAGAGGAGAGGCCATTCCCCGAGCCAAAACCAAAAATTGAGAGAGAGAAGCCGCCACAGGATCCTCATCACAAGCACCCTCCTACTTGGGAAAATGCTAAAAAGTTGCCAAGAAAAATGAAGCCCGAATTGCCTCGTAGGCCTCCCCATAAACCTCCAATGAACTGAGCATATAGAAGATTAGTACCATGTAATATTTTAAGACTAGAATAATGGCATGTTGTGTTTATCATGCTTTGCTTACAATTTCTAGTTATATGTATGTTACTCTCTACTGTGATTCGCTGTGGTTTTGTAGTCCATGTGATTGGAAAGGCACTTGTTATCGGCGCTTGTTATGTATTATATTCAGTGGTGCTCTATTTTATTACTTTCATATTTGTCTTGCTTCTCTGCCTTATATATCTGTTTCATACTTCTGGCTCAAAAAAAAAAATCAAATCACAAACTTTCCCTTTTGGCTAAGTACTGTAGTCGTATCTCATTGCATGCATAAGAGTAATGATTTTAACTTCCCAGCTACAGGAGTACCAAAAACGAGCAAACTCCTTTGTCAGTACATAAGACAGGCCATTTAATTAGTACTGTATTCAGTAAAAACGGCCCAATAATTTGGCCCATCTATTCCATATAATCAAGAACCTTTTGTTGGCCTCTTTTTGGTCAAGTAACGAGCTAGTTTCATTTGACCATTAAAGGCGCTACTCTTCATACATCGACATAACTGAACCGAATTGGCAAGGCCGAATCGTTTTACCAAACGCCATGCGCCCAAACAAGAAACATGGAACGCTATGAGATATAAATAATGGGTAATAAAAAAGGAAGCAAAACACTGAGATGAGTGAGAAACAACAAATGAAAAAGAGGATTTGGAACACACCACTGCTGGGTTACTACATAATTTACAGGAAGATTTGTTGGGTCTGGGTAGCTATCGTCGAGTGATGATCTAGTTGGGATTTGTCCCCCTTTGTTCAATTTTTTTTTATTTTAAAAAAAGCAAGTAAAACAGAAGGAAATACACCGTGCCGCCGCATGAGGAAAATGGAAGCATATAGAAAGAGAAATTTTTTTAATGAGTTTAATTTAAAAAATTGGAGAAGTAAGATTTTAAAATTTTAATAATAAAATATGTAAAATAAAAGAGTAATAAAAATTAATTAAAAATTTTTAACTCAACTTCTCCATTTTTTTAAATCGAGTTAATTAAAAAAAAATTTCCCTCATTTTTTCCTCTATTTTTCTCATACCAAACACACCATGAACTGATTTGTAAGAGAAAGAGGAATGTCTAACGCTCTAGTCTCTACTTCCCTGCAGTTAATATCTCTGCCATTTGGTTAATGCCATAATATATTACTCCTCCGGTCTTTAATATATGATCTAATTGTTGAGTTGGTTTTGGTCCTAAATATAAGATCCATTTATTATATTTATCAAGTTTCTCTAAATTACCCCTATGAATACTCTCTCAACCATAATCAAGTAGAAGAGGGAGAGGTGGTATTAAGAAAGATGATTATGGTGTTTTAGGAAAAATATGTCACATTTCTTATAATTAACTAACTTACCTAACATCCTTAATCTAATCAAATGGTTGAATGGGTCTTATATTAAGGATCGGAGGAGTATAAAATATTATTATAATATTAAAAATAAAAATATATATGAACAAAATTAACTTACATATAAATAAATATTATCATAAGCCACCAATACTCCCGCTATTCTTTTTTAGGAACCACACAGCAAACACCCAAAAAAAAAGGCAATTCAATAAGCCGGGCCCTTAATACCGCATTCAATAAAAGTGGTCCGATAAATCGGCCCATATATGGGCCTAAAAGAGCGCCAGTCTTATGATTTTTTAAACTAAGGATACACCTAATTATAAAATTTTATTTATAAGAATGTCTTATAATTAGGACGGAAAGAGATAGTAGTTAACTATCTGTATAAAGAAGGCTATATTCTTTTTCTGGCAAGGAAAAAAGAAGAAGAAGAGAGGCTATATTCTGTTACCAGAACGATTTAAGCGGGAGAATATTCGATGTGCCGAAAAAAGAAACATAGGGCGCCATGAAAAATAAATAATGGTTAATGAAAATGAAGTGAAACGAAAGGAAATATATATAGTATGGGGTTAGTAGGTCTAAACAAATTAGAATTTCACACGGAGGTTTTAAATTGATTTGTGCGACCCTATTTGATTTGCAAAACTTAGTGGGGCATTTATTTGCAATTCTTTTTTTAACCCATTATTATAACTTTGTAACTTTCTCATGATTTACTTATCGGGTAGCCATCCCTAGATTTGATCCTCAGTTTTGGCTTACCATGGTTTGCTTCTTGCCCGGAGTTTTTCCTCACGCATTGTCTGGTTCAAAGGAGCATCATCAGAAAGAGGACGGCAAGAAACGAGAGAGCTTAGCTTATAATGAAAAGGAAATTAGAGTGCATTTTATTTTTTCCCTTGTTCAACTTGAAACAAAATTCAACGTTTTCTCTTGTTTAAAAAATGTCAACAAGCTTTTATCTCACTTTCCAAGCAAATTAATGTCATTTGCTTGTTTTATCATAATTGTTTGAATCTTGGATCTTATTTATTATTATTCAAAATTTTTACTGCTGTATTTTTTTTTTTTGAATTACTTGATAAATTTTACCGCATGTTATAATATCAATTTAAATAGTTTTATTATAATATTTAAAAATAAAGCCTTATCACTAAATTATATGAAAACTGATTTTTTATTATCAAGCATTGGATATTCCCCTTCCAAATTTCCCATAGTTTTAGAAGGTTTATTAAAACTTTACCTCCCATTTCCCCCTTTTTAACCAAATGAGTAAAGAGGAGGGTTTTCATAACCGAATAGACCTTTAACCAAGGAATTTGTCTTGTCAAACACGCAAAATATCAATTAAAGGTCTTGGCCTTTTATCGACATTTTAAAATAGAAAACCAATAAAGAAGAAATTTTTTTAAGGCTAAATTGAAAATTGTGGAAAGCTAAATTAGAAATATCTTGGAAGTCTCAGTTATAATTATTTTTCAATAAATATTTTTTATATGATACTTTGATAATTAATCAATAACAACTAGTTATATCCCTTACTGAAAATAGATCTCAGTCGTTGAATATGCATGCATCCATATAAATATTATTGAATGTGTGCGAGCTATATGTGTGCGGCTCTCAAACCCCATGATTAGGGAAAGAAAGTTAGGTAGCAGTGCCTGTCAAGAATGATGTGTTTGACGAAAAAGACTGAAGAGGTAGTTGTCTAAAATATTCCCATTTGTTAGTGTTAGGTGAATTTCGTAATAAAGTAAGAAATTACTAAAAGAGCCCGAATCTTTCAATGTAATCGCATAACTTACAGTCTGAAGAGACGGAGCCAGCAGGGTGTGGATATGATTAAGGTTTGCGAAAAATGGTATTGATGAAAGCACTGACTAATTGCCATCGCATTATTATTAGACTTAAAGCAAGATCTATTTGTGTTAAGGTCTCTATCAATATCACCAACTCTGTTTAAGAAATCAATTAAGATCAGTCCAGCTGTTAGTCTCTGTTTTAATTTTCAACCACAGGAAGTTTAATCATCGCAAGAAAGTGAGGAAAAAAAATAGGAAAGAGATACATGGAGGGACCCCTTATGTCATGCTTTTGTATTATTGTGTACTATATATTGATGATAAGACCCACGCAGAGCAAAAGATGAGGGTTCTCGTAATTAGCGTGATTAGAGGCCTAATCGCTTATGATAATTAATAAACAAATTAAATTAAACACGCGGCATTATATGCGGTTACGCAACAAATTTCCATAATTTTAATACTAAATTTCCAAAAGAATAAACTTCTCATTGAGAAAAAGAACAATGGCTTTTTGCTGCTTTAGGAAGTTTCGCTGCGAGAGAGTCACTACTGTAAGTCCAACTGCTACCACCATCTGATTCGTGGCTTTTCTTTTTCATTATTTTTCGCAACAAGACAATTGTAAAGTCTTGTATCAAGGGTCAAGGAAACATATAATAATAATAATAACAACAATAACAATAATAATAATAATAATTTTAAAAAAATTTTGTGCGAATGACAAAAAAAGGTTTTTGGAATAATTATTTTTATTCTGACCTATATGAATATGATGTTCGAATTTAATATGATAGTATCGGATATTAAAAAATACATTTTAAAAAAAGTACACCTCTACCCAAAATGTTAAATTATTCAGATCCCTTACTGTAAATGTTTCTTATCTAAATAAATAAACAAGTGATTACATCGATCTGACATTAGGCCGTCTCCTAAAATTTTTATGCAATAATTATGTGTTGACGGTATTATTTTTGTTTTTTGGGCCAGCTAACACAATCGGCTTAACATATCATCATCATCATCATTAAATGTTCAATGCCTTCAAAACAAAATTCAAAAACATGCACAAGCCAATACTCAATTTAAGACCTCAATTAGGGGTGGAATTAGGCCAGGCGGCTTGTGGCCTGGCCTGTAAATAGCTTGGTCTGACCTGACCTATTTAGATATCAGAACAAGCTCAGGCCTGTAAAAAGGCTTGTTTACTTTATCAGGCCAGGCTCAGGCCTGATAGTAAGCCTGTTAGGTCTGTCAGGCGGCCTGAGCCTGTTATCTTTTTTTTTTTTAGGTTAGAATTGTAAATAGATAGGAGGAAATTTGTTATTCTGATTGGTTAATTAAGAAAACTCTACCAACATAAACGTGTTATCCAGAGCTTATTGCATGCTTCGTTTCATTTCCATTCTCTATAATAAAAAGAATTGATGTATGTATAATGACACATATTTGAACAGAAAAAGAAAACATAAGTGCATTAAAAAAAATAAAAGTATCATTCATTTATTTGATCCATGCTTTTCATATTAATCTTATATAGAATATATATATAATTGACCTATTATGTTTTAAATCGTACATATGTGTGGTCAATCTAATTCTTATTATAATAATTACTTAATTAATTTAAATAAATAAATAATAAATGTAACATTTTTTTTTAAACAACCATGTGTAATAACAGGATCAAATATCATTTTGTTAGTAAATTAGTTTGAACAAATGATAAATTTAAAATATAAAAGGGATTAAGGATGTTTCATATTTTAAACTAGATCTAGTTATCAACTAATTTTTATACTAGAGACGGGATAAAGTGATATTTTTACACTAGAGTGAAATTATGTTTTCTAATAATTTTTCATATTTGATTTTTTTTTGGGCCTCAGGGGACATGTTTTACAAATTGTGTTAATTTAATAATTTCATATTTACTGTTTGTATTTTAGATAAATTGGGTTGAATTATTGTAATTTTGAATTGACTTATATGTGTTTAAAA